TTTTGTCACGAAAACAAAGCTTCCTCTATGAGGAAGCAAAAATGTATAAAAAATATACTTTTCATAATAAAATAATATTCATGATAAATATTTTTGTATGTGTTAAACATTAATTAAGATATATCTAATAAAACTATAATGTATTTATTAATATTAATGATTAATTATTGATGATTATACAAACAACTGTATGCATAAAACTGGAATGCTTACCAATGGCAAATACTTTGATAGCTTTGACAGATCCTGCCCATACAGCGCTAAGAGTGATGAAGGAATTTATGTATTTAGCCTTCCATTTCTGACTCTGACGTTGTAACATTATAAGAGTCATAGGTCCACCCATGCTGTGAGCCAATAGTGTTACTGGTGTATTATTATTTATTGCATATGTTTCCTCAACCAGGTTTTTCAACTTGGCAAAGAATTCTTCACTTTCGGCTAAAATTTAAGGCCTGTATCTCGGTAAATTTGTTAACTGAATAAAATACATGTCGCAAAATACCAGAACATATAACGCCTGTTTGAAATATTAATTAATTTCGTTGTATTATACATACTAGGTCCTTTTCTGAAATCATAAGGCGCACCGCGCAACGATACATTCCTGACATATCCCATATTGTTCACCAACATATTTCCAATATCACTGAAATATGAGCCTGGTGAGGCTTTACTGGGGTCTATATACTCAACTACAAGTGGATTGCCCCAGCCTGGTATCCTTATATCCACTCCAGGCTGATTGCTTGTACTCCTTGTCACATTGTCGTAATTAAGCTTTAAGTTATCAATCTGCAATAAAATAAATTTAAGAGATGCATAAAACAAATTTAAGAGAGCATTTCTGGGTTTAAAAAAAAAAAAAAAAAAATGGAAACATGTATGACGAATTAACAATCGTACAAAGCAATCAATCACAACGGGTACGAGTAGTTCCATATTCAGCCATAGGCTAAAATAATCGTTGGATACTCTCTCGCAGATATAATGCACCACTGATGTCTTGTTAATCTTTGCTTCGATCTGACTACCGCCATCACCTGGAACTGTATCATGTTTCGTAAATAAATACACTCTTCATAACATTTCGATGATTCGTTATCTCTGAAATTCTACATTCTATGATGAAAATAGTATAGAAAAGATCGAATTCTAGTATGTATCAGATAGCCAGTGTAATAGAAAGCGCTCCTTATCGAATAGTGCTTTTCAAAATACGAATCTAAATTACTTACTTAAAATAACGGGTGATATTTGTGTCGTTTTAACGTGCCAGAGTTTCACCGATTGCATAGAGAGCGAAAAAACGATTATCGTGTTTAGAAGAACCGCCAGGCGCATTGTTCGTCACAGCCACGGTATCAAAATCGAAAACACACAGATTCTAAAGATTGTATTTAACACTTCTCAAATAAACTTCCCGAGGAATAATTTTCGAGTATTTCTCCTCAGAACGAAATGGCACTCATCTGACAGCTTTACGCTATTGTTTATAC